AAATTGAAAAGAAATTATGAAATGTTCCATAACAAAATGTATTCCATTTTATTATAACAACATCAATTTATAAAATACATGTGTTTGGAACTGAAAATGTAAGGTAATATTTTCATAATTTTATACAAATCACGTCAAGTAGTAATATAAAGAGAGCGTTTCCAATTAGCTGACCACAGCTGTATGTATGCATATGTATGTATTATGGAATAATAAATCGACTTCGATTATAACTATTAATCGATTATTTTGTGATCGATTATATACTACCAATTTTATACTGAAATCGATTTTTTGCATCGATTAATCGGAAATTTTGCTCTGCAAAATAAAAAGCATACTGTTTTACTCAAATTTTGTCAGAGACGACGAAAATCAATCTATATACGGTCTCACTGTCTCAGTTAAAAACATGATAGTACTAAAGAATGTACAATATTAATTCGAGATGCGCCTTTTATAAAATGTCTCCTGAAAACATTTTTGAAACTTAATTAATTATCAAATTTCACACGAATTATTTTTAGATAACTCTCTTACAACTCTATTACAAAAATCGGTCCACATTTGTTTCTAGTCTCCATAAAAACGCACAACAGCCTATAGGTATAGCGAAAAAATTCTACACAAACCATGGCATAGCTCTGCCTATATCTCTAATCTCTATCTCTACATATATGTATCTCTAACAAAGTTTTTTAATTATTTTTTTAAATTTTAGTATGTATATGGAAAGGTCTACCAAGACTGAACAAATATAAACCCTTCTAACTTATTTTTTACTTAGTTGTGCGAACTTTTATCGAGATACTTTTATATTATACATAATTATGAGCTCAAAAGCCCTTTTCGGGGGGTTCAGTTGTATGGGGTTAGATGAAATAATGGACCGATTTTAACCATTTTTAATAGGATTCGTCCTTGTACAAATTCCAAATTTAAATTAAAAATTATCTTGAAAATTGCGACCTGTACTTTGATAACAACGTTTACATGGACACATGGACGGTCGGATGGACGGACACCGTTAAATCGACTCAGAATCTGATTCTGAGTCAACCGGTATACTTTAAGGTTACAAACATCCGCACAAACGCATAATACCCTTCCCACTATAGTGGTTCAGGGTATAAATTTTAACAAATTACTTACCATGAGATGTGCGTTTTTGTTAAATTTAAAAAATGTAAAAAATACAAACATTAATATTTATTCAGTTTTTGAAAAATTTTAATTTTTTGTGTATAAGAGATATGTACTTACTTTTGGGTATAAGAGATATGTACATTAGGGATATAACTAATTTTGCGAAATTTTTGGCATACCACCACGTGATGGCCAATGTTGTAAAATGAATGAATATAATTTTATTGAGTGATTTGGAACCAAAAACATCACAAACCAACAACAATTTCTGAAATAAACCAACTTTTACTCCTTTTTACCCATTTCATCCACTAAATATTCGAGTTTTCAAAAATCCTTCGTAATGGATCTATACAGTGCCAAAGAAACCTAATATCAAAAATCCATGATCCTAGCTTTTTCGGTTTTGGCTGAGCGATGATCAATCAGTCATTACACAGAAAAAAATAATACATAACTAGAATGAATTTTGTAATAAATTGTACGAACATGACTTTTTTCCCAAACCATTTTCATTCGGTATATTAAAAGTTCATAAAATGTATGAATTTGTACATGAATGAATTTTGTTTGTTTTTTTACTTTTTTTTTTTTATTTTCATAAAAAATTGAAATAAATATCCACATTGTAATAAATATTCAATGTTCCATTTTTTTAGAAAATATTAGCAAATTTTTATAAAAAATAAACAAAAATATTGGAAAACAAAATATGAAATAAAAAACATCAGCAAATACGGGTAAACATCCATTCTTCAGACAATCCTGCAACTTACGCGCATATTTCATTGTTTTCAATCTAAAAATCATAAAGAAATAAAAAATTTTCCAAAGAAAATTTCAAACATTTTTTAACAAATAGAAAAATAGAAAGATAATTTTTAATTTTTTAAGTCAAGGCTTCTAGATTATGTTTAAAAAAATAAAAATGAAATAATTCATATAATTTAGGAACTTATTCTTAAATATTATTAACTTTAGTTAATGATAGCTGTTCATAATATATATGCTCAAATTTTTTTCTGTGTATATAAATAATTGCATCTTTTTTTTTTGCAAATGTGAAGGATACTTCCCTTATTTAAAATAATTTTTGAAGTATGTCCGCAGGTATTATTAATTATAAAAACAACTTAATAAAAGAACAAAATGTATTTTTCTAAAATAATTGAAAATATGTAATGAAAAACTTTATTGCGTTTGGTGCGTGAACATTTTTAACAGCCGCGAAAATATCATGTGGATTTTCATATTTTTTAATGTTCTATTCGACTAGGCTATGCCAATTCTCATATTTGCAAAAAATTACAATAGTTATGCCCCTAATGTACATTAGGGTGTCCCGTGGTCCACTTTTTGGATGAATACCTCTCAAACGATGCGTTTTAATGTACTACATACGAGCAGTGTTGCCATAACGGCATTTAAAGTCAATTCTAGCACTTTTTTCGTCGGTTGCACTTATTTTTTAGAAAAAAAATGCTAGATGCTTTTTAGCACTTTTTCGTCTTTTGCTAGAAATTTTTAGCATTAAAAGTGCATTTTTGGCATTTTTTCTTCTATTTTGCACTTTTTATAATTAAAGAACTTTAAAGTTTAATTTCTCTAGAGAACTGCAAAAATTTTGTTTTGACATGTTTTGTGAAATTTTAAGAAATTCTCACGAAAACTTTTTGCATATGTTTATTGTAATTATAAATTTGCTTTCGTAAAACTATTTTATTTTTCATAATTTTTCAATAATAGTAATTTAAATCTAAGAAACATTGATTTTTTAAAATAATAATAAAAAAGTATTTTTTATAAAGTACATTACAGTTCGGCCAATCTGACAATTTGATTGACCTCAATCAAAAACAACATATAAAAAATAATAATGAAGTAGTGTGGCAAATAATAAAAATTAATTTGGTGTCACCCATTTTCTAAGTCGTTTAGCTTCTACAGTGCCCTTATAAGGAATTTGAGTAAGTTGACAATTACCAATATCTTTTATAATATAGCGATCGTTAGATAATACCTTGTCTACAATTAAAGGTCCTCGATATTTTTCAATAAATTTTTTGTTCTTACCCACAGTATTATCAGTATTCATGACTACAACATAATCTCCTGCTGAATATTGTTTAGCAGGCACATGATGTTTGTTAAAATAGTTCTCGTTGTTTTTCTGGGATCGTTCAATTTCTTCTAACGCTTTTAGTCTCTGTGATTCTAAATCACGACTATTCTGGTTTTACACTTTATCATCCAAATATTCTGTTAATGCATCCACTACTGCACCTCGCTGTTTTACACCAAATAATAATCTGCTTGGTGTATCTTTTGTAGACCCATGTACAGTATTGTTTATAGCATACTCAACTTGAGATAATTTTAGAGACCAATCAGCATGATCTATCGGATTACTAATCTTACTTAAAATACCCTTAATGACACGATTTACTCGTTCAACTTGGCCATTAGCCTGAGGGGATGCCACTGCCACCTTAATATGTTCAATATTATTCTTCAAAACAAAATTTGCGAATTCCATAGATGTAAAACAAGAACCTCGATCTGTTATTAGTCTTTTTGGTCTACTATAATAGTTAAAGTACTTTTCTAAAGAACAACAAACTTCTTTAGTACTGGTTGAATTTACAGGATATAATCGGACAAATTTTGTAAATGCATCTATGACAACTAATATGTGCTTACGTTTTGATTTCAATGATGGAAGTGGTCCAAAATGATCAATGTGAATAGTATCAAAAGGTATAGGTTTCTTTGGAATGTTATATAAATTTTGTTCGTTTACACGAGCAGGAGCTGAATATGTTATACATTTTATACAATTTTGTATGTACGAAACAATTTTGGCCTTCATATTTGGGAACCAATAATTAAAGCGAATTTGATCATAACATTTCCCTGGACCTAAATGGCCAATTTTTTCATGGATCATTCTTATAACATTTTCCTCCATTTCCTTAGGCACATACAACATTAAGTTATTAGTATCATCCTTACGAAATAGCAGACCATCTATAAGTTCATATCCTTTAATTTTTCTAGATTCCAATTCTAAGATTAATTTCTTGATATTACTATCTCTCCCTTGTGTTAATTGTAGTCTAGTGTCAAGTTCATTGCAATCTAAAGCAGCTATTACATTACATTTGTCCATAATAACATTACTACAATTTTCACTTAAAGATCTACTTAAGGCATCGACGTGTCCCATAGACATCCCTCTACGATGCTGAATAGAATAGTCAAAGTTTTCTAATTCTAAAGCCCATCTAGCAATTCTTGGATTTACTTGCTTCTTATTCAGTGTCATTGTGAGAGAATTGCAATCTGTTATTATAGTAAAATGAATTCCTTCTAAATATGCTCTAAACCTACGTAATGCATAAATAATTGAAAGTGTCTCAAGTTCAAAACTATGGTAACGACTCTCGGCTGAGGAAGTAGATTTTGAAAAAAATGCAACAGGGTGGAATTTTTTGTCATCTTGTTTTTGCATCAGTATTGCTCCAAATCCCTTTGTGCTTGCATCGCAATGCAATTCTGTTTCTCTTTTAGGTGAATATATTGATAAAACCGGTTGTTTCATTAAGCATTTCTTAAGTTCATTAAAGGATCTGACACAATCTGGAGAAAAGTCGTATTTTTTCTCTTTTCGTAATAAATCTAATAAAGGTCTGGCAATAAATGAAAAAGATTGTATAAATTTCCTGAAATACGAGAAAAGACCTATGCAAGTTTGGAGTTCTTTTTGATTTTTTGGAACAGGGAAATTTTTTATGGCATTTAAGTGATTTTCAGTTGGACGGATTCCTAACGGATCTATAGAGTATCCCAAATATTCAATGGACTGATAACAAAATTTGCATTTTTTCAATTTAAATTGTAAACCTGTTTCATAAGCACGTTTTAAAACTTCCGTTAATATTTGAAGGTGAGACTCAAAATCTGTTGAAGCTATTAAAATATCATCTATATAAATAACGCTTTTCCTATTATCAATTAGGTCTCGGAAAATATTTGTAACAAATCGTTGAAAATTGGCTGGTGCATTCTTAAGACCGAAAGGCATTCTTAAATATTCATACTGTCCATGAGGTGTCACAAAGGAGGTCAGTGGTATCGAATCTTTTTCAACTTCTATGTGATAAAACCCATATTTTAAATCTAAAAGAGTAAACCATTTTTTCCCTCCCACATATTCTATACAATCCTCAATCAGAGGCAATGGAAAATTATCTCGAATTGTCTTTTTATTTAATGCACTATAGTCTACACACATTCGTGTTTCACCACTTTTCTTTTTAGTTAAAACAATAGCGGATGCATGAGGTGAACTACTGGGACGTATAATATTTCTATTTAACAGATCGGATGTTATCTTTTGAACTTCATCTCGATCTCGTACAGATAAACGACGAGGAGAACAATAAACTGGCACATCATCAGATAAACGAATTTTAATTCTGTAGTTATGTGGTTTTCTAATAATATCTGTAGGATTTATATAAAACTTATCTATTATGTTATTCAATTTCAATATTTGTTCATCACTTAGCTTCGAATTGTAATTAATAAAATCTTTTGAAAGTTCTTGAGTGTCAGTCAACTGAAAGTCTGAATTACCCTCAACATTAACTTTAGACACCAAAGAAATTTTATCTGTATTATTTATTTCCTGTTTAGAATCAAATATGCATACATTTTTATCATTAAACATGAATTAGATTTATATTAAATTTTTCCATAAAATTCCTACCCAATATCATTGGAATTTTTATATCATTATCTGGTATTACAACTAATTCAATTGATTTAACTATATTTTGAAATTTAATTTGACACGAAATTATGCCATACATTTTCATATTACAATTTCCGATTCCAACATAGCGGGTTGGAAGTAGATCTTCAGAAAGTTGAATAGATTTTGGCACAATTGTTTTCGAAATTAGATTAATTGGGCTACCCGAATCAATTAAACATGAAACATTAAGGTAATTAGCATATTTGTTTCTTAAAGGTAGGAAAAATGCCACACTCACCATTAACATTGGATCAACGACAACAACTTCATTAGAATTAACAACATCTTCTGGAAAAACTGACGCTGAAATATTTTGACGGTTAGGACAATTTTTATGAATATGTCCCATTTGTTGGCAAATGAAACATGAACCTGGAGGACGTATGGGTTTCGGACATGAACTCTTCATATGTCCAAATTGAGAGCAATTGAAACAGCGTATAGAATCTTGATTATTGTTGTTACTTGGCTTTTTTACTTGTGTTTTCCCTTGACGCTTTTCGTACAATCTGTTACGACGTTTTTCATATCTATCAACGCAAGTAATTAGTTTTTCAACAGTAGTTGAACCATATAAAAGGGAAATGTTGTTAGAACTGTCTTGCATACCATCAATAATAATGTCAACTAGTTCCTGGCCTTCAATTTTTGCTTGAGACGCGATGGTTTGCATTGAAATGATGTAGCTAATGCAGGATTCAGAAGCCTTCAAAGTTCGAGCACGTAATTTGCGATATACATCTTCTCGGGTAATAACCCTTTTAAATATTTTGAAAAGAGCTCCCTTCAAATTATTGTATGTCCAATTGCTTGAATTTTCCATAAATTCCCTAGCTGTTCCTTCCAATAACCACTTCAAACATAACAGCTTTTCTTCATCATTATAATTATAAGTATATTCTTCCAATTTTTTAAAAAATTTTTCAATATCATCGTCATTACCACCGTCAAATTTCGGGACCATTTTGTTCAGTTCATCATAATTGATCCTGTGTGTTTTACTAACTGAATTATATTCCAGGTCGTTAAGATGTTTTTGTAGGTTTATCATCTCACATCTCATTTTTAATATCTTAATTTGGGTTTCAAGTTCTAACTCTTGAGATGAAGTTGTAGAATTGGTAACAGGAGGAACGGTTCTCGAGAAATTGGAATAAACAGAAGTATATCTTGGTATGTCATTGTTTAAAGGCAATGTTGCGTCAGCTGTTGCAGCAAACGATGATGATGTTCCACCGAGTATTGCATTAGGGATTCTTGAAGGAATTGTAACAACAGGGTTTGAATAATTAAAAGGGACGGAAGTTGTATAAAGTATTCCACCGGAAGTAGTTTCGGGAATTACAGAGGCACATAAATCGGAAGTTGTAACGGAAGTTGTAGAAATAAGAGCTGCGGAATAGTAACTGAACATTCAGTTGTTAATACACCAATACTTGAATCGGAAGTTAAATCAAGAGTAACAGGAGAAGCAATCTGCTCACAAGGAATTGACTCATTATGGGTTTGATTCAAAAGCACAGAATCATATAAACATCTTAACTGGCTCATAGTTGCTGATTCAGGAAATTGTATTCCTGATGCAATTAAAGTATCAATCATTTTTTGTCGATTTGGCCGTAGATCCATTTTTAATTAATTTTTTATTTTTTTTTTTTATTGCGACCCCACACCTGATTTATAAATTTGCTTTCGTAAAACTATTTTATTTTTCATAATTTTTCAATAATAGTAATTTAAATCTAAGAAACATTGATTTTTTAAAATAATAATAAAAAAGTATTTTTTATAAAGTACATTACATTACATAATTTATAATTTACACTGTAAATTAAATTAAGATTTGAATTATTTTAAATATTACTGTGCAATAATTGTAAAAAATGTTTGAAAAAATAAGCTAAAAGAGCGTTGTTCTGTTAAGAATTTGGTGTCACTACAATGAAGTGACTACATGTTAGAAAGGCTAACATCTTCCAAAAACATTTTTTTGAAAAAAAATCATTAAAATTTAAAATATACAATAAAACAAAAATGTATGAACATGTAAAAACAGGTAAAAGATCGGTAATGCCGTATCTTACATACGCACCAACACAACACGTTTTACCAAGATTTGCTCATTTATTAGATTTATGCTTAAATTTTATTATCGTGTATCGGTTTTATTTTCGGAATACGATCTTAATGGTTTGGATCCCGGACCGAGCTCTAAGAAGGATGTTTTAAAACAAATCATTTTTTTTCGAATGTATCATAATACTAATATGTTTTAATAATTTATTAAGAATAAATTTATTTTCTGAAATAGGATTTACATATATAGAGGTAAACTATGAACCTATGAATCTTGATTATGAAGAATTTCATCTCTGCACATGATTTTAAGCACGTTATTTATGGACGCTTGGATATAATATAGACCGATTCTTATGGAATTTGATAGAGACATTTAAGATCGTATAAAACTTATTAAGGTTATATTTAATTTTGCATCATCCTTCAGGAAAGCTGTTAAATTTGGAGAAGATGAGTACCGATTTTGGGGTGCTTGTGCTACTTTTGGGAACCTAACAATCAACTCAGAAAAAAAGATTCAATATAACCAGTTCTTTTTATTCTTAGCAAATTTTTGAAATTTATTTTTGTTAATTTTTTTTTAATTTCGAAAATATTATTGACAATTTATTCCAGAATTACAAACTTGCGTATTTGAATATAACCCTCATAATTCATTTGTTACATCAACATTTATATTGTTTTCTAAAAGCTCATTGAAGTATGAGTAATAAACCTGACATCTATTCACCAAGATTTAAGATTATTTCAATTTTCAATATTTTTGCGATAAGAATACATCTGCTAAAGTGTTGTGAATAAGACCCATAAAATTGGTTATATAAAAAATAACTAAATCTTTAAATACTACATATTTTTTCTTCCGAACCCTTTTTTAGCATTTTTTTCGTAATGATTATTTTAATTAGTTATTTTATATACATACATACATATATATGTATGTATATACTTATTCTTAGGGGCATTAAAAAATTTTCGAACAGGTTTTGTACCTAACCCTTTCCGAATTTGATAAAACTTGATACACACATTCTTTGTATCCATACGAAGTTTAAAGTTCACCAAAATTTCCAAATTCATTACGGTTTAGATTTTATCAAGGTTCAAAGTTCAAATTTTTTAAGACTTTTTTCAACAAGTACATATTAAATTTTATATATGTATATATATTTTATTTATATGTATATTTTCTAAAATATTTATCGTTTTAGTTCCTAATTAAAACCTATGTCTTGCAGTTTGAAAATATTTTATTTAAAATATTTCTGTTTTCAAGTATGAATTATGACATCAAACAACGTCTTAGTCAAGGATATCTCAAAAAGGCACCTTATATTTTCTTTATTCCTTCACATAAGATTGCTTATAGTGTTTTCAACAAAATATAAAAATTTCAGAATGGGACAATGAGGGGATCTCAAGTAAATTAACTTTTAGTAAAATAATCCAAATCATTTCCATACAAATTTCAAAAATTTTAATTTTTTGTTCATAAACAATTTAATTTTTGTTTCAAATTTTTAAATTTATTTTTGTGTTCATCAACAAATAAAACTTTAAATTTTTAAATATCTTGAATATTATCAAACTACAAGACATAGGCTTTAATTGGGAACTAAAACGATTAAAATCAGATAAACAATTTAGTAAATATACGATGTTACATTTAATGCTTGTTGAAAAAAAATCCCCAAAAAAAAAAATATGAACTTTAAACATCGATAAAATCTGGGCCGTAATGAATTTGAAAATTTTGGAAAACTTTAAATTCCATATTTACAAGAAGAATGTGTGTACCGAATTTCATCGAAATCGGAGAGGGTCATGTTCAAAATCCTACTTTTTTGTTCGAAATTTTTTGAAATTACCTCTTATTGATTTTGTAAAGGGATATTTATATAGGCAGGGTCAAATCATGGATCAATTCGAAATAGTCTTTTGCATTTTTCATATAAAAAATCTCATTTAATTATTTAAAAAATTGTGACCTGTACATTATACCTGGACAGCCAGCCGCACAGACGGGAAGACATGGCATAATGGACTTTTAAAAACTTGATTTGAATTTAGCACTTTTTTCGACGAATTTGCACTTTTTTGACCGTCATTTTGCACTTTATTCTGCGGGAGTTTTGGCAACACTGTATACGAGAAAAATAAAAAACATTTTTTTGAAAAGGTCCTTAGTTCACTACCTACGATTGAAAATTTTGAACTCAGTACAATATGTTCAAAAATAATTTTATACAATCTCTTCGAAATGGGTGTCAAAAATTCCGTAATTTTGAGCTTATCGCTAGAAAAATAATTAAAATTTTTCTTAGTGTATTTGTGGACCGCAAAACGACTTTTAGTGTATTCCAAGGGGCATATTATTTTCAAAAACACTAAAAGAATCTGAATGGACTATACCAAATGCCAAACTGTTTTTTAAAAATTTTTCTGTACATGCTAAAAATTATGAAAATTTTTGAAATAATATGCAAATTCAACCCACTAAAAATCATTTTGTGGACCAAAAATACTCTACAAAAATTTATAGATTATTTTTACGTATATTACGAAAATAAAAGAGGTCGACTTTCCTTATTAAATTTCGAAGATACCGTTTTTAAAAATTTTTTGGTTTACATTCGAAATTACATTATAATTTCCTGCTTTTTCATTTAAAATTATCCGAATTTCGAAACATAATCTATATATATAAAAATGAATGTGTGTTTGTTTGTATGTTTATATGTTTGAACGTTATAGACTACTAAACGGCTGAACCGATTTTATTCAAATTTTCACAGCGTATTCCTGTATGTCTGGAATAGGCTACTTTTTATTTTGAAATTCCAAGTGGGCGAGGAATATAACCCTCATAATTCATTTGTTACATCAACATTTATATTGTTTTCTAAAAGCTCATTGAAGTATGAGTAATAAACCTGACATCTATTCACCAAGATTTAAGATTATTTCAATTTTCAATATTTTTGCGATAAGAATACATCTGCTAAAGTGTTGTGAATAAGACCCATAAAATTGGTTATATAAAAAATAACTAAATCTTTAAATACTACATATTTTTTCTTCCGAACCCTTTTTTAGCATTTTTTTCGTAATGATTATTTTAATTAGTTATTTTATATACATACATACATATATATGTATGTATATACTTATTCTTAGGGGCATTAAAAAATTTTCGAACAGGTTTTGTACCTAACCCTTTCCGAATTTGATAAAACTTGATACACACATTCTTTGTATCCATACGAAGTTTAAAGTTCACCAAAATTTCCAAATTCATTACGGTTTAGATTTTATCAAGGTTCAAAGTTCAAATTTTTTAAGACTTTTTTCAACAAGTACATATTAAATTTTATATATGTATATATATTTTATTTATATGTATATTTTCTAAAATATTTATCGTTTTAGTTCCTAATTAAAACCTATGTCTTGCAGTTTGAAAATATTTTATTTAAAATATTTCTGTTCTCAAGTATGAATTATGACATCAAACAACGTCTTAGTCAAGGATATCTCAAAAAGGCACCTTATATTTTCTTTATTCCTTCACATAAGATTGCTTATAGTGTTTTCAACAAAATATAAAAATTTCAGAATGGGACAATGAGGGGATCTCAAGTAAATTAACTTTTAGTAAAATAATCCAAATCATTTCCATACAAATTTCAAAAATTTTAATTTTTTGTTCATAAACAATTTAATTTTTGTTTCAAATTTTTAAATTTATTTTTGTGTTCATCAACAAATAAAACTTTAAATTTTTAAATATCTTGAATATTATCAAACTACAAGACATAGGCTTTAATTGGGAACTAAAACGATTAAAATCAGATAAACAATTTAGTAAATATACGATGTTACATT